TTAGGAAACAATCATACAAGAGAGAGGGGGGCCACAAGGATTTAATGATAAAGAAACTTAGGAAGGCTCTGTCCTAATTGATCAGACAGGTAAATGTGGCAGTGGGGAGTTTGTATCTTCAGTCTTACAAAATTGATGTCAGCCCTCCTGAGTAAACCAGACAGGTAAGAAATATCTAGATACACTAAATCTACTTTATTGTAAGGTTACATTAAGAGTATCTTGTAAGTTTAAAGATGCAAACTTCCCAGCTGGAAAGGATGGATCCTTCCTAAGTTTCTTTCTCTGATTTTTAAGTCACTGAGGGCCCTCTCTTATCTGTTTCCTAGACAGCATCTTTTTCTTTGGCTTCCAAGGTCATCTAGCCCCTTATAGCTTTAGAGTATCAGTGGATCATCTTTGTACCAGTCTGGAACTCTTTAAAACAGCTGCATCCTTTCCAAAGAATCATGCGGCATTGTGGCAATTGCAATGAGATTGCCATGCAATATGTGTCTGCTTTAGAAGAGTTTTAGAAAGGTGTTGTTTGGACTCTTGAACTTCTGAAGCAGCTTTTCTAAATTATCACACAGCCCTTAATAGTGGCTAGCTGAACCAATAGATTGTCTCAGATATGGTCAACCAAACCCACATGTGAAAAGTTCAAATTAGAATTAATTGTTTGTTTTTAAAAATTAGTTTTTCATAAGTTCATTTTCTACAATGGCACAGCTAATGAAAAAAAAATCAATTGTTAGATAAGATTTCTTGCCCTCTGAAGAATTTCATTGTTTTCTCCCCCTCTGGCATTACTGCCATCATTGCTAAGTATGAATCCTGATGATAAATGGCATGAACAACTAATCCCATAACCCACTTGAATATTTTCAATAAGCTGAATTGCAGAAAACAACGGCTTAAGCTTTTCATGGCAGGGAAATAAAATGCTATTTGCTACAAAATTATATTTAATCCCTTCCAAAGTTTGTGATCACTTTAACCACAGTTTAGTATTTGGTTTACTGTACAGTTGCTTGGGACAGTCACAGTTTCATATACTATTCAAACTGAGTGGAGT